TACTTTTTTCCCCTCACTTCTTAAATCACCCACAGCATAAGAAAATCTCTAAAAGCCTACAGTTTTTAAAAAGCTATTAGAAACTTAAACATGATAATCTTACCCAAGAGTTTACAAGCGGATTCGTCACCTACCAAACAAATCAAGAATAAGAATGCAAAATAACATGAATTTCAAAATACCAATATGAGATAACTTCAACACTTACCATGTCAAAAAAGTGACTGAGCTTCTTGATTAGAAAGTAACCCTCAGTCAACCGCACAACTCTCTGTCTATTTATCTGCATACAATTTGACATCTTATTTATAATACATATAATGCTAGTAATATTGTATGCTTATACTCATTAATATATTGTTATTATAATGCTATATTCAATCATTAAACATCTCCAACATGAATTCATGTCTAAAAGGCAGTAAGAGAACACTTCACTTCTTACATTGTAAAGCTTCTGCAGAACCTTCAGCAGAGGCCTTACTTCAGTCCAGTGGTCACATCTTGCAGTCATCATCAGTGACATGAAGTGAGCGCACACTGAGTGAAACATCTTCACCAGAGTCCTGAAGTAGTAGTAGGGTAGTTTGGTCCACAGGCTGGCTGAGGGAATTTCACACATAATGAGCACCAATGGTACGATATAAACTAAATATTTACAATGTACTGATGTTGTAGAGTTTAAATAAGGAATAAAACCCTTGAGGGTGTGGTGTTATAGGAAAAGAATGAACAGCAGGGTGGACCCAATGCAAAGCAGTGGCAGTTACTGAAAATTTGTTTTTCCAACAATTCTATCCATTTATAGTTACATAGCAAAATCCCCAGTGTTGATTTAATGAACACTTTGGGTGTTAATTCACTAGGGATTTTACTGTGTACATTTAATGCTGGGATTGATTGAATAAATGAATTGATGAATGCAAATAAGTGCTAAGGATCCATACAGTGTACATACTCAAGACATCCAGTGACTCGGGTTTCAGTTTTAAGATGGCAGACGCCAGAGAGATAGTGAGCTGTGTGGCACGTCCTTTTTTTTTCAGCACTCGGAGAAGTTCAGGCAGGATAAGGTAAACCCTCAGAGCCTCCACACCAGCAGGTGAGCCCAAAGAGGGCAGAAGATCTCTCTCTACAGTTCCCTCTATCTGTGAAGAAATTAAATTTACGAGACTTAAGGCAAATGCATACAACTGCAATAAATCTATAATACATTCCTTATAGTATCTTTAACGTTTCATCAGCAGAGCCATACCAATGATAGAACTTTGTCCTTTTTGGCCAGCTTTTCAAAAGCAAGACGAGCCAATGATAAATCCAGCCCAGAAGTCACTAATGATGTATTATAATGCTTGTCACTGCTAATGATTTAAAAAAAAAATCACACATTTCTGTCATTATGATTCTGATGAATATGGGCTAATGTGAATATGAATGAATTATTGCATATTTGTACCTTTTCTCAATGAAACTACCGTTGATGCATGATGCTGATGAGAACATTTTCTTGATCTCCCTACAATGCAAAACAAACAATAAGATCAGTGACTGGGTAGCAGGTATAAGAACTGCCATATGTAGTATATGTACGTAAATAACGGTTTATTTGTCGTTCTGCATTGCAGCGTGTTTGTATGTCTGAGTCCTGATGCAGAGACAGGGTTTATGGGTAGGCGAGGTGCTAATGATATGTTGTGTATATATCTGTGGGGCTGTGCATCAACCAGCTTCCAGAGGTGGTTTCGGAAACATCGTGACAAGAAGTTGTGGCCCTACTTCCACAGGCTTTATAAAGGATTTCAGAGTAATATTGGCAGAGTGGAGGAAAGCAAAATGAATCTATTTGCATAAATAATTCCCTTTATTTTGCATATTTAGGTAGAAATGCCCCAATGTGCGCATTCATTAGGGCTACTGTGCTGTTTGTAAGTAATTTTTGGTTGACAAAATGCATCACAACGCTGTAGGTACTGTTGCCTAACACAAACATCCAGAAAACTAGGACCCCAGGATTTACGAGAGAGAGAGAGAGAGAGAGAGAGAGAGAGAGAGAGATTTGCTTTGTAGCCTGAACTACTGTCACAGCTGCTGTTTAAGAAAATTAATCATCACCTTCTTACCGATCGGATCTGCCGCACAGGTATTGGCATTCTGTTCAACATTCAATTAAGCATTCAATTTTAAAATCTGTTTTTCAAGGAACAATTTGGAAAAGTTATATTCAAGTGCAATGATGCTTTCCTTCATACCTTTGGTTTCTTTTCCATACTCTTGAGTTACAGTCTGAAATCCAGCGGTCAATAATTTCATCATCTAACACTGCTGTACCATTGCACGAATTCAGATATGAACTTGCTTGAACGTCATCCTTGGAAGAAAAAATAAATATTACGTTGACATTGAAAGTGTAAGCCTTCATTAAATAAGCCTCTGTCTTTTTTAAACAAGATTTATACTGCTCACCGTTGTAGAGATAAAGACGACAGAAAGATTTCCTCCAGCAGTAATTTTCTTAATCATCTGATCAGGGCTATATTCTGTTAAAAAAAACAACAACAAGAATATGATTATATAACTTTAATGACCAGTTGTCACTAACTAAATTAAATACAGTCATCTGTTTTCAAAAGTGTGCTAATAGTGTACTGACCTGGTGGCAACTGGACAGGAAGTGGCACACACTGATTGGTCCTCTGGCCATTTCCCAGCTGACCTTGCTCTCCACATCCGAATGAGTAGATTTTGGTTGAAGATTCAACAAATGCCAGGGTGTGATGCCTGGAATTAAAGAGAACAAGCTTCACATGAACTACTGCTATCAGATGTATCTATAATAAGAAAATGGGCTGTGCTATTACAGGAAAATAATCAACAATCAGGTGCCAAGATTTGTGTCAGGACCTTACCACCCCATGTCAATTTCTTTTTAATAACAGCTCACCATCAAGGGTTTTATTCCATACAATTTCCATGCCACTATGGACAATTCGGAAATGCCAAATTGTCCATAGGAAACTGGAGAGCCTGGAGTAAATATAATGCTTAATTTTATTTTAAGTGCATTTTAAAGGTAAGTACATACACTTTCACATGCATGTATCCCTGTCATGAGTGTTTATATTGTGAACTGTGCAATTCAGTACCTTGCATCTTATGAGGTTGCATATCAGAGGTAGTTACTTACCGTCCACAGACTATTTGGGACACTTTGGACCCCCAGAATTCAGCAACAATACGGGGATGATGTTCATCTCTGAATGAGTTATGTCCAAGCTGCCCGTAGTGACCTGAGCCAAACGTCAACATCAGTCCACCCTAAAAATGCAGATAAATGATTTTAACCACTTATAATTTGAATTGCATTAACTAGTAGTCAAGTCTAGTACATTAAGTAAGTTGTGTCACACCATTCACCAGCAGAGGGAGCCAAGTGATCCTCGTCACTAAAGGCACACCTGACGCCAGGTTTACTGTCATTTTATTTCTCCACTCAAATTGATGTTCCCGCAGTGGTTACACGTTTGCCTCACACATCCAGGATTGATTGTTCCCAGCATGTCAGGAAGTTGGGGTCAGAGCACAGGGTCAGCCATGATACAGAGCAGAGAGGGTTAAAGTCCTTGCTCAAGCACCCAACAGTGGCAGCTTGGCAGTGCTGGAGCTTGAACCCCCGACCTTCTGATCAGTAACCCAGAGCCTTAACCGCCAAGCCACCACTTCCCCCAATTGAGATTGAATTTCACACATTTCCTGATCATTGCTAAGCAAATCCTCTCATTAAATATTTTACCTGTGCTGGTGTAAATGTAGTGCGTGCAAAAAAAAAAAGAATAATAATATGTGGTCAACCAGGTTTAAGAGAACATATGCATAGTTTACATAAAAATATATAGTTTCTCATCAAAATGTGATTTTATTTCTTATGCTAAATTTCTAATGACTAGTTTGAATTATATAGAATGAGTATGATCAATTCACATAGTATTAACGTGATCCAGTTATGTTACAAAACCTTCTGAGGATGCTGGCTCTGAATGGAAGAAATGACTATAGTATTCATTTAACCTGATTTTCACTTGTGTGGCATGATCATGCAGTGGGAAGTGTCACTGCCTCACATCCTGAGTGACCTGGGTTTGATCCTGAGCTTTGGTGAGAGTGCAGGGTTAGATTTTATTCAGTATCATGAAAATACATGATCAAATCATGTTAGATGTACGAAAACAAATCGGATTAATTAATGTAACTCAATTCAGTGGGACCGATGAATGCATTTGGATGAAGTATATTCAATGATATGTTTTTTTCATGTGCAAACACACATGTGCAAAGGTTTATGAACGTAGACTCTAGTATCAGTGCTTTGTAACAGTCAAATAAAACTGTTACTTTACGTTTTCTAACAGTCTTCTAAAATCTTCAGGACAGAAGAGTTAACCGTTTCTAGTTTCTTAGTAACCTGAAAAGCTGATGAAGTGTTAACCTTGGTTAGAACAGCAGTATGGTCCTCTCCGCATGAAATGAACACGGTCTTCTTCAAATTCAAGCTCTTCAAACAAACAGGGACATGTCTATCTGTGAGAACAAATGAAGAATACTATTACTGTACAGATTCAGACAGAGTTGAGTTTATAGTACATGTTTCTAGTAAAGTCAATACCATCAGTGTCTCCCAGGCCCAGCTGCCCGGCACTGTTCCTGCCCCAGCCGAACACGGCTCCGGAGAGAGACAGGGCGAAGCTGTGGTCTCCTCCGGCGCTGATCTGAGCCAGTGGGATCCCACACAGAGACTTGAGGGGCTGAGGAGACTCCACTTGGCTCGGCTCACCTTTCCCCAAACCAAGCTGACCGCTCGAGTTCTGACCCCACGTGAACAACTGACCATCTGAGAGGATGAAGCAGAGGAACGTTGCAAAATTTGTGTCATAATAAATATACAAACAAATTTTACTTTACATTTCAGCATTTGGCAGACACCCAAGGGCCCAACAGTGTCAGCTTGGCAGTGCTGGGATTTGAACTCACAACCATTTGAGCAGTAGTCCAATGTCTTAACCACTGAGCTACCACTTCCCACCACTGAGCTGCTACAGATTGTTTGTGTCAGGTAGTTGTGTTAGTATATGTAAGATATGGCCTTAAAGTATTTCCTAAAAGAATGGCCTTTAGTCAATATCAATAGATCAAAAACGAAGACATTTTCTCGCAAAAGAATTTAATAGAAAAGACATAATGTGGTAGTGCATATGATACCACAGTGATGCTGAATTCTCGAATCTGATCGCTCAGAAGCATTTGATTCGTTTTCAATAACAGCTGCTCTGACAGTAGTTCCAGCTTAAAAGCAAATCAAAGGATTATATTCTACTACATTATCATATGGTAAATGGTAAATGTGCACTGTGTCTCATTCACCCATTCACACACACACACACACACACCAATGGTAGCAGAGCTGCCATGTAAGGCGCTAGCTTGCCATCGGGAGCAACTTGGGGTTCAGTGTCTTGCCCAAGGACACTTCGGACTTGTGGAGTCACCCGGGCCAGGAATCGAACCGCCAACCCTACGATTAGTGGACAACCCACTCTACCAACTGTGCCACAACCGCCCCATATAGCATATGCTCCATATAATCTAATTCTAATACTAAATTATTTGAAAAAAACCTGTTGTTATTTAAGAAAGAAAAATATATCATTGTTGATATATAGTGTTTAGGGAAGGAGTCTCCAGTGTCAGTGTTTTGTAAAGACTACAGAAAAGTCTCCAGCTCTTTTTAGTTTCTCTGTAAAATGACATGCTACATGACTACAGGAACTAACTTGTTTCACACTCACAAATCTTTTGCACTTTTATTCTGACATCTTGTTTAACTTCCTGGTTTTGTCTCAACCTTTCACCTACATTTCACACACACACACACACACACACACACACACACACACACACACACACACACCAGATTCAAATTCTCACTCACTGCTCAGTGTATTTATGCAGTCCATTTCCAACCCACTCTACCAACTGTGCCACAACCGCCCCATATAGCATATGCTCCATATAATCTAATTCTAATACTAAATTATTTGAAAAAAACCTGTTGTTATTTAAGAAAGAAAAATATATCATTGTTGATATATAGTGTTTAGGGAAGGAGTCTCCAGTGTCAGTGTTTTGTAAAGACTACAGAAAAGTCTCCAGCTCTTTTTAGTTTCTCTGTAAAATGACATGCTACATGACTACAGGAACTAACTTGTTTCACACTCACAAATCTTTTGCACTTTTATTCTGACATCTTGTTTAACTTCCTGGTTTTGTCTCAACCTTTCACCTACATTTCACACACACACACACACACACACACACACACACACACACACACACACACACACACACACACACACACACACACACACACACACACACACACACCAGATTCAAATTCTCACTCACTGCTCAGTGTATTTATGCAGTCCATTTCCTCAGGTTTATTGCAAGGTTTTGTTATTTCTTATGCTTTGAAATAGTTTGCATGATTGACTGACTATTGCCTGTTGTTCATGACTACATCCTGCCTGATTTCTCGTTTGTGACTTTTTCCAATGTTCCACAACATTAAATTGTAACTATACACTGGTAGAGAAAAAAATTAGGTCATCCCTTAATTAATAAAATATGCTGTGGTATAAGAGGAATAAAAAACTTCAGGAGGTGCTGTTGCATTGGACCGATTCACAATGGAAGACCGTTGATTATTTTCCTATAACAGCAGGAATGACCCATGGCTATAACTCAACCTTGAGAAGACCTCTTCATATGCATTATATAGAGAAGAGCTTAGAGCATACAGCCATTTTCAGCCCAGAATGAAGTGTTACACAAAACATTTAAGCCTTAAATGTATATGTTCATATTTGGGTTCAATCACCATGAATTCCTCTGCTAGTTGTTTAAGAAAACAAGGAGTGTAACTATAACACCTTTTGTTAGGACAATTGGAGTGATAGTTTCCACATGCAACTTGTGCAATTTGTCTGTTAGTTAAGCTGCCACATGCCCTGCTTATGAAAAACAACAAACAAACAAAAAATTAAGATGAATTTATTATTTGATGATTTCTCTCAGATGAACCACAGTGCTTGGAAATCGAACCCACTTGGGTATGTTGCATCGAGCTGAACGTTTCCATTCATGCACCGTCCCATTCTCAGACACAAGCACAACATGCTCCTTTCCGCTGCTCAATAACGCAGCTCGGTCCTTCTTCAAATCTAAAGTAATTCCTAAAAAAACAGAAATCTTGTTGTTATTGGTACTGTATTTGTCCATCTGTACAATGGTGATTTAATACACCCTCACTAATTTACAGGGCTTACTGATTTACAGAAATATATATATATATATATATATATATATATATATATATATATATATATATATATATATATATATATTTTGTGTGTGTGTGTGTGTGTGTGTGTGTGTGTGTGTCTGTAGTTATAAGAGAGAGAGAGAGAGAGAGAGAGAGAGAGAGAGAGAGAGAGAGAGAGAGAGAGAGATAGAGAGAGTATACTGTATATGGAGATGTCCCCACCCAAAGTGGAGCTGAAACGAACTTGGGCCACTAGAGTATAATTCCGTCATTTAATTTGTAGTTAAATGTTGCAATAAATAAATAATACTAAAGTTAATTCTGTTAAATTAAAAGTTAAATAATGAATTCTTCTGTTTGCTATTCAACATTATATTAATCGCAATATTTAATTATTGAATTATTTCATTATACATATATATTTAATTAATAAATTCTGAAAATCCTACAATTTCCATTTGGCAGCCTAGATGTCTATCCTTTACCTTTTTCGGCTGCCCCTGAGACTGTAATATTTTTGTATAGCATTAAAGAGAGCAAGAACTCACGCTTGTGTGACGTCACTACGATGACTTTCCGGTCCGTGTCCCTAAGGAATGTCGCGAGCCCCTCTCTGATGGACACATCCGTGATTCTCGTCCCTCTGAACATTTGATCAGATCCATTAAGGTTCTCATGTGAAGGATCATCTCCTGTCGAGTTCAATCTGCCCCAGTAAAGCATTCCGAATCTCACAGGATGTACAAATGTCCTCTCTGTGACCGTGTCTGAGGACCAGCTGATGTAGAAAGCATGTAAACACGAATTTAAACACAAACTGAGAAGACGAAACTTAAGCTGAGAGTTGAAACGAAACCGAAACTCATCTGCACATTTCTATCCAAGTATCCACTAAAAGGAAGGAATCAGCACTAAAGTAAACAAAGTCAGTATTTGGCATGTGACACTTTGTCTTTATAAAGTAATCTCAGGTATACTTCATACAAATTTTGGAGAACATTGGCTTGGTTTATTTATTTATTTATTTATTTATTTATTTATGTATTTATTATGAGCATTTTTATCTTCTGGAGACTTTATCTGTTGCACTTGCTTCTGTTTCCCTAACAGACAGCATTTTGAAAATGAATGAATTAATTAATTAATTTATGTCACGGTTCCCCCTTGAAGCAGCATGCTCTCACGCTGTTGCGCATGCGTGTTGTGACATTCGAACATATTCTCTTTGTTTTCGTTTCTGTCAATGGCTTGGAGGGCACGTGTGTTTTGTGTATGTTCGTCATGACCCCGCCCCGTGTCTGTCATAGGTTGTATCCCCACGTGTGTCTGGATTACTCCCAGCTGAACACTGTTTAAATTAATTAATGCCGGTTTATATACTACGCGCCGTACTACACACAGCGCGATTAATTAAACATATTCAACACAGTAAACTTAGTCCCTTGTTAGTTATAGTTCACGCTGGGTTATCCGCTCCCAGATCTTAGTCTTAGTTCACGTTCATGTTCATGTTTATGTTTATGTTTGTTTCTCGACCCTGTTTTCCGTGCCTCGTTATTGATATCTGCCTTGCCCCTAGTCTATGCCTGTTTGCCGTTCGTCTGGTACTTTCGCCTGACCTTCGCCTGTTTTCTGGATTATGCCTTTGGATAACGTTTTGGATTTGTCTGCCTCTTGTAAATAAACTACACTCGTTCTTAAGTGCGCTTACCTCCTTCCTTCTTCCGCACCGTCACGACTTGTGACAATTTATTTAAACTGGTCTATTATGATGTGTAAGCCTAGTATGTAATATGTTAATTGCTTAACTGACATACAAATTTTTTTTCCTAACTTTCATTTTCAAGTACTAAAATATTTAAAAAACAAACAAACAAAAAAACAGGGCAGCTAAGACTTTTTGCACGGTACCTGCACATATATTTTGTGTAGTGTAACAATCTGAACCCGAAATGAATTTATTGGGATAATATATTGAAGCTACAGTACACAAAATAGCCCTGAATGTTAAAGTGGTGGTGGTGGTGGAGGGGAGAATGGTATGGGTGTGTTATATTTATGCCCACTAGTGGAATAACAGAGTAGTAATTCTGTGTTCCAATTCGCCTACTATCTGTCCTAAATAGTATCCAAGATTAGACTGGGTGTGTCCCAAATCGTAGTATGTTGAGTATCCCAAAGGTACCAGGATGGTCTACTATTTCCGGCAGATTTTCGAAGTGCTAATATTTAATGTTGCCCACAACTCCTTGCATGAAGGAGCAGGAGTTTTGTGACGGTTCGCTTCTCCGAATTTAACCTGCAAACATAGCAGACGAGTGTAAAGCCGGTGAATTTAAGTGTAAGAACTTAAATGTTAAGCACTAGCCAAAGTTCTTTACTGTCATGTAAGATTAAAGGATGGTAAATTAAATGATGTAGTATAAATTCTACAAGGAATAACAAATAATGAAAAGCTGAAATGCAATGAGGAGTGTTTACGGTGACAGTGTGCATAACTACATGAGGCAACAACGCTGTCTTCCATTACATGACGTGGTAGTATGTCCCAGTACTTGCATATTATTTTTCTACACACTCAAATGTATGTACTTTTTCTTAGTGTATAGTATAAGTAGGTGAACTGGTACGCAGCAAAGCACTTGCTAGAATCTTACAGTTCAATTACGGATTAGAGTCTGGGCCATATGCTTGACCCC